CTTTTTCATTGTTTATAAATAGTTTAAATCAATAAGGATTATTTGAGAGTAATAACTAAATGAATAATGTCTTTTAATTAATGTGATAGAAACTAATGTTCCCAAATAGGACGAAACACGCGTCCTGGATTCCACTGTTAGCCACTATCTATCTTTGTTTAAAAAGCTTGTGACTTCAGGTAATATCGAGGCAATCCATATAGGATGCACATATGCCAACACGAGATTGATCAATTGCAGTCCTAAATAACAATGGGAAGATACAAGTAAAATAACACCAAGTGAATATAAAGTTTAAGAAGTTCAGAAGAAGAAACTTACGATATAGTGATGAAAAATGCTTGATTTACGATGTCGGGATGATACCAATATGACGGGATGGAAAAGTAAACTTTCATTGTTTTATTGGTTTTGATTTTTGTTAAATATTAATTCCCGTCCTGGGTTCGAATCCAGCGAGGCGGTGTCGTGGATGAGTACTGCTGAGGAGTTCCAAAATAGGACGGAACGGTCGTTCAGTGCTTCCAGGTTTTCCATGGTGGTCTAACTTCAATTGACTTATGATCTCAAGTATTGAAAGAAAACTTTTGTGTTTGATTCAATAATTTCAATAAGTTCTCTCACTTGTGATTAGTATAATTTTTTTAATCGTTCTTCTTTCTCTTGATCTCAAGTAGATGTCAGCTTTTCATCTAGGAATAGACAATGAGATGAGCAGCGGAAAAAATGAGTTTATCCTGAATTTATGATACAATTAAAGTAGACATTTTAGACAAACATGTTCGAAATAGTGTAATAAGAAAACGAAGATCATCAGAATTATGTAATGACATATTACCGCAATACATTTCGAATAATCTGATCACATACAATATACTCGTTAAGAAAATTTATACATAAAAAGTAAAAGGTCAACTAGACTAGAAATGGAGGATAAGAGGAGACAAGGATAATAAAGAAAGCCATTTGAAACTTCATAATTGAAACAGATCGTAAGATTGGTCATAACTCAACCTTTGTGGTGTTGTACGAAACTGTAAAAAGGCGTATACTAAGATTTATTGAAGCCTTAGCTATACGAAAATTCAAACCCCCCTCTGTGTATTCAAAAAACAGTTTGTTCCCAATTTAAACCCTGGTAATATTGACTTATTATCCATAGTGCTGAGGTTTCAAATTGTGTTCACATTATTATTAAGATTACTCTTACTATTAACCATGTCTTTTCTTACCCCATTTCCAGTCTCGTTGACTTTTTATTTTTATATAGAAATGTTCTTAACAAGTATATGTGTGATCAGATTATTCGAAATGTATTGCACTAATATATCATCACATAGTTCTGATAATCTTCGTCTTCTTATTACACTATTGAAATTTATCAAAGGGGCTAATTGCTTTAAATGTTTGAAATAATTAAATCCATACACTCTCATTAATTCTTTTTTTTTTTAAAGTTCAGATCAGTTTGACTTGAGACTACGATATCTGTGTTTAAAGGACTGGCGTCATGAAATACGAACAGTTTCATATTGCAGACTGTTGTACATACATTTCAGTTACTAAATGAATCTGATTTATCATAAGAAATTATGCTGTTGACATCAAAGAATTTAAATCTCTAAAAACCTCTCAATGTATACGGTAACCACAGACATTTTAAACAACACAATATTAACCAGAGTTTGAGTAGTAATTGAACAGGTAGTCCATACAACCAAGTAGACACTAAGTCAATGCAATGAAGTTCAACTAAATGAGATGAGACGAAATGAACTGAAGATACCCAGGATTAACATAGTCAACAGAATCGATACGATCAGTCAGTGAAGCACTGACACATACATGTGTGCAACAGTTCAGAACTAATTATATTATAGTGTTTAGCACTATGCCAAGCCTGTTATATCCGAGCTAAGATTAAATTACGGGTAACTTCCGAAGACTATTAATGGACTAATATTCTATAAATATTCTTATTGCATAACTATTCAACGATTAGATTATGTATATTTATATTCCTCTTATCATAAGCTTTATTTTGACCTATAATTTATTATTGTACGATTTACGGCTCTTAAGCTATGTTCAGTTTATTAACCACTACCTCCAACGTTCATATCCACTTTCTGGCTTTATTATGTACAAATGTTATTTCCTATTTTATGGTGCGTTGAGGTCTGTCTGATTGATGGTATATAGACCCAATATGTCTGGAATAAATGATTCGATTCATATTGCAGAAGCCGGTATTGAATTCTGGACTCAAGTGGACGGGCTAGGAGAATGCAGGACCAATAAGGACGATAGACTGTTCATACCGCTTGAACGTCAATGGTTTGGCATAGTGTTAAGATTGTATAAGTCGTATTTTGATTGATGGATAGATCACGTGATAAAAACCGGACACAAAATCATAACGAAGCCCCCATGAGTTATTCTAGCTATCGGAGAGACCAATTTATTCATTTTTGTTGAGTCATATTTTAACCTTGCGTCTTTGGCTTATTTTTCCTGTCTATAAACACTGAGTTACGCTTTAGCAAATGAAGATGGCACACTTGCCTTGTTCGTTCTGCTTCTTCACTTCGTTTCCCTAATTGTCTGTCTGGGCTAACAAGTGCATGAAATATAGATATCCGAAATCCATTCTCGTATTTGAATAATTTTAGTCCGTTATTCTATAACGCGAATTATGTCAATAATTAAATACAAGAGTTGGTGACATGTTTCGTTAACATTGTCATACGATCAAAGGGCAACTAAAACATGAATAGTTTCACTGTAACTGATAATAATTAGAATGACGAATATAGTCTTCATATGATTTCTCAAATATCATAAACATTTCAAACAAACAGAGGATTATATAGGCTTGCTTTGTAAACTGATCACAGAACTAATCTCTGGTTGTTTAATCAACAGACATATAAAACTCCAGGACTTCTTGTTAATTTCCTTTCACTATTCGCTCATCCTGTCAACTTTCATTATCATCCATCTTTACATAACTTAATTTGATAATAATAACTATCTCAAGTAATTAAATTAACGATCCAACTGATCTCATATGGTCCCTCTTATCTTATTTCTTTTTTAAAACAAACATAAATCTAGATCATTTGAATGTTTGAATTATCACTTGGATTTTGATGGAGTTTTGTTCTCTGAGCTGGATGGTTTGGTTGTGGAGCTTTCATCGTTCTTCTGAACGACATCATCAGCACAAACTTCAGGTAGAAGTGAAGTGTGCTGATGATTTCGTTCAGAAGAACAATGAGAGCTCTACGACCAAACCATTCAGCTCAAAGAACAAAACTCTATTAAAATCATCAACCTGAGCTACAAATATTCTCCACCACCACCACCACTTAGATTATCATTTTCTCATAAACTTAAAAATCTTTTTCTAGATGCACAATTCAATACACAATGATTCTGTTTTAAAAAATAAACTGAATAGTTTTCTTTTTTTTTCTATAGAACATAAATTTTACCGACTTATTTGGTTGTAGTTCATTGATAATAGAAGTTTATTTCACTCAACTTCAAGTAGAATGTAGGTGACAACGATGGCATGACAACAACAACAACAACAACAATGTACATTGATAAATCTTAATAGAAAGAAAAATGTTGAATTAGATATTTGTTCTTTTTTGTTTTTCTTCAAGTTATGCATAGAGTATTTCTGGTTTATTAACGCCACTATTAAATAAACAGTTTAGATTTTCAATATAAACAAAGAAAGTTTTATGTTAAAAGTTCTTTAAAGAATAATATTAAGAAATGTAATGTTGTTATTATGTAATCTTGTATTTGTTTAGTACTATTTCAACTATGTACAATATTATTTGTTTTAAAAAAACTATTTTGACTTTATCAATATAGGGTTGTGAAGATTATTAAGTTTTTGATTAAGATCATGAACCGATTGATGTTAGATCATCATTGAAGACCTGGAAGCACTAGATGACCGTTTCGTTCTATTGTGGGACTCCGCAGCAGTGCGCATCCACGATCCCGCACCACGCCGGGTTCGAACCCAGGACCTACTGGCTTTGCGCGCGAGCACTTAACCACTAGACTACTGAGCCGGCATCCAACGGTGTTAATGTCTAACTTCAACCAATCCACGAAAATGCGCCACCGTACACCATTGTCTTCAGTGAGTTGTTATCTCACAACAGACCTGGTTGAACTCCACTGGTAACGGCTTCTCACTAGAACTCCAGGAGTTTTTCTTCAAGTCAGTCACTAGTGAGCAGTTGATTATTATCAGAATGGGTTTTGTGGAGAGTTTATACAAATTTCATAGGTTGAAATCATGAGTGGATTGAAGCTAGACCACCATGGATAAGGTGGAAGCACTGGACGGCCGTTTCGTCCTAGTATGGGACTCTCCAGCTTTTTTTTCGCTTTTAATCTCTAAAGTATTTATTTTCTTACCAGTATAACGCATCAAGAACCATCGTGTACGTTAACATATTTCAACTACATCAATAGACGTAACTTCACAACCTTAAGAATCTACTTACCATCACTATTTTAGTCCAGTGTGGTGTCCATACATTTGTTATCCTCTTTGATATCGTTTCTTATTAGTTTATTTAACTAACTAAATACGTATTCAGGGAAACTTTTATTTGAGTTCTCAATCCATTCGTTGTCTCCCACCAATAATACAAACACTATTTTCACTAAATTATCTTCCTAGAGTTTCATTTAGACGCCGAAAGAAATAGGTTGTTGGTGGTGCGTTCAAATGTATTAACGATACAAAGATATGATGGCTTTAAACAATGGGTTCATACAAGTTTATGCTTCATTAGATTGCTTATAATATTAGACTGCCATGTGATTGACTAACAAACATCTCACTTGAATTCTGTTGGTCATTGTACACTCGTCCATATGGGCTACAGTGAATTCCTACTTACCATTTTCTACATGTAACAATTTGCATGTCTGTACAATCATACTGTATTAGTTCCATTGACTATATACATATATTTCTGTACTACTTATAATTCATATTCATTCAATCCATTAAGGCTTACTCGAGTTTATACTGGCTTCGTTCTAATGGCAGTGAAGTTAAGTCCATATTCATTTCTCTTCTGATAACTGTTTCAATCTCTGTTGATTTATTGAAATATTTGAATACAATTTCTATTTATTTCGAATTCATATCTATTCTAGTTCTGTTCATTTCTGAATTGGTTAAATGTCTGTTTGATCATCAGAATACAAGTTTGATAATATTATAATCGGTGGATTCCATGTGTTCATTTGTTCAAAATTACTGTTGAAGTGCTAGTCCACTTACTTGTTTAATCCATTTCTATGGACATTATATTTGAATACGCTGCCACGGTACAAATACAGCAGTGTTTCAGCGGGGTTTTCTAAAAGGAATATATATACAAATTATATGTTACTAGTTCCGTCGAGCAACTAGAGGAATATGTTGGGAGATTCAAAAGTTGTGGAGAAGGGGCACTATTCAGATTAAAAACTCGTCTAATCTCAAATCAGACAGCAATCCTTGTTTAATTAACAAGATTATTAATCCACCATTTCCTGTCTAGAAAAAACACCATATGTAAACATAAAGTTGACGATGTAATACAATCAAATAACAAACTCTCCTCTAGTCACAAGTCCATTAACGAACGGATAATTAGTATATTATTGAGTCTCGTATGTGAATCAGTTTTAAGTGAAATATCACACAAGGAAGTTGTGAACAGTATTTCCAGTTTAAACCGATTCAAATATAGGATCCAAATATAGACAGTCTGTCCTATTTTCATATTTACGCTACTGGTCAATAATATACACACCGACAAGTAGTATGATTTCAGAGTATAAAAGAAACGGTTAAGAGAGGAGAGATTTGCCCAAAGAACAGTCATTCGTGAAAAAATCTGACACTTGTTGAAGTTAAATCTCTGCATCAGAATATCTTAATGATTAGCCAGTCAAGCTTGAGATACTTGGTTGTGGATTTTTGCGCGAAATTCAAAATACGATGACTGATAGCTTATTGCATGTTAAAGGTTTAGAAATGCCTACCAAAGCCACGTTACTGAGACATTTAAATTGATAAAAGTGGAATACTAAACAACAAAAAACATAATTTATCAATATTTCAAGGTAAGTAGAGGATGCATTTAAAATCGGGATCTGGTTGTATGAATATTCATCCTTAAGACTACAAAGAGGTTCGATCTGAGCACTCCATACACTTGGCTAACCCTGATTATTACTAGAAACTCCTAAATCCTAGTTTTAATCCTGACTTTTCTGAATTTTCGTGGAATAAATTACTTCTTTGCATCACATGCGTTTTAATTAACTTAGAATAAGCTTCGTCCTATTGAGGTCTTGCTCAGTTGCTTGTGGTAGTTTGCGAAGTCTACTTTCTACGGCATATCCATCATTAATAGTGTTTCCGAAGAGTAAAGTACGTCTGATGTGCGTACACCATAAATATAAGATAGATATACCTAGTCAATACACACGAAGCACGGAGAATATAAGATCCCCGCAGTTATTTGTGCGTTCAAGGCCGTTGTGGGGGAAGGAGGTAATTTGAATCCTCGGCTGATTTTAATCTGTGAAATGGAGCCTTCGTACAGGAAGAATTGTGTAGTTGTGAGTTAATGAACCAAAGTCCACTAGTTTTCTCTTTAGATCGATGACGACTTTCCTGGGTATTCCGAGAAATGTTTTAACTTGGCTAGCAAGTATGAACAATACATAGAGAGCATAATAGTACCTAACGGTATGATCAAGGACAGGTATGACAAATGTAGCACAGACTTACCGAATTTTAAAGGCTCGAAAGAATGTCAATCGATATTTTAGAAACTTTTGAGTTTCTTAATGCAACTTCTATAAATCTCTTGTGCGTTCTTAAAGGCGGGTTCAAGTTTGCATCCGATCTAAGTGAAAAAATACATAACAGTGCAGTTACACGAAGTAAAAATATACCCATCTTCATGGACTTCATTGTTTCCAACACATACGAAGTGAGTTTGGTGTTATTTTTAGTTTCAGAATGATGTCGTAGGTCACGAACCTCAATTTCATACTTACACTAACTTGACATCATTTAAAGACAAGGTAATCATATATAAGACTTTATGAAAATTAACTTCAGGATGTTCTCATACTTGAAGATTTGCTTGATTCAGGCACTACTCTCAGCAGTCTGGTTCCTTATATTAAATCTTTTGAACCTCGTTCCGTTCTTGTTGCTTGGTAAGTTGAATAATTTGAGTCGTTTATTGTTTTTACTTTCATCTACATTGTGTGCATAAGGTATTTTGTTAGTTTTACAAGTTTTCATCAACCTGCTTCTTACTGCCTAGGTTAGTTTGTTCTAGTGAAGAACTGACACTTGGTTTTTTGACTTAAGCTAATATCTATAATTTCTTACATACCCTTAATTTATAATTTACCGAGTTTTACGTTTATAATAGGCATTAAGTTGTTTTGGTGGAATTAATGAGTTAAATACTGAACAAAAAGATCTCGTTCTTGCCCTGCAACAATTCTTGGCTTTTTGATAACTACAACGAAATAAATTTAACTAAGAAGATATCTAAAATACTACCTTTAACAGTCATATGACGCTTATCTGGACACAGTAAATAGCAAACACGGGAAGAGCAGAATGATTTCAGGGCTGTATTTGGATGTCTCAGTCATATTTACTCTTTTTTAGAAACTTAAAGGTTGATATTCTCATCTGACTAGCGATAATTCTCGACTTAATAGACCAAGATGTTTCGTGGAATATTTCACTAAGAAATGTTCCGAAGATATATATGAGGTTTTAAAAGCTATTTATTCAAACACTAGGTCGAGTTAATGCTAATAGCAAACAGACATCGGAACTGCCAAACTCAGGTGTTGTTTATCATGGTCTCCCACTATCTGAACTTATTGATTTTCGTAGTAGATGTTCTTGTAGGGACATTTTTTCACCTAACTTTACTCGGATTAATCTTCTCGTAAACTCACAAATCGGATTGAAGTACCCTAATGACAGTTTTATGAGGTGAAGATTGACATAACTCAATCTCCTGAATACCTTGAGCAACAGAGTCAGACTTTTTGGGATACGTTTCTCTACTTTTAAATATAAAATGTTGCTTCATTGCTGGTCTACGTCATCTCCTATCTCTGTTATATCTCCTGAAGTAATTGAGGACACCCACCACTTCAACTACCTTTTAATTTCCATCATACCTGGTTGATCGATGTTACCAAAATTTCCATACTGATTCAGGAAATCAGCTTGATTTACGCCATTTCGCGTCAGTTGCAGTACAGGTGAGATGTGCATTCGTCAATCGAACAGTAAGTATACTGCTTGCTAGTCCGTAACTTATTAATCGGTGACTGAAACGTGGTCAGTGAAAATAAAATACTTTCATAGGCTTCATGTCATGATCATAGGTTTTTTCGAAGCGGTGTTTGTGTATCGTAGGAAAACCAAGTAAGCGACCCTGATGTTAGATGTAAGGAACTAAGCAAACATGAAAATCTTGATGGAGTTTTGTTCTCTCAGCTGTTTGGTTTGGTCGTGAAGCTTTCATTGTTCTTCTGAACGAAATTGTCAGCAAACACTTCAGATAAAAGTTAAGCGTTCGATGTTGATCGGTTCTTATTGACCTTAAGTTTGTCATTGTTTACTTCTTTCGAACGCTTCAATTCTGTCTGAAGTTTGTGCTGATGTCGTTCAGAAGAACAATGAAAGCCCCACGACCAAACCGTCCAGCTCAGAGAACAAAACTCCATCAAAATCATCTACCTGAGCTACAAATCTCCACCAAATATGTAAATCGGTCGATAAAGTTGTGGATCTTCATAAATTGATTTGGTACGTATGTCAATCCCTCACCTACATTGACTCTTGGTGTTGGTTGTTATAGAATCATGTTAGAAGTAACCTAGGGATGGGTATATGGAAATGTGACATGAGTTCATGAAGTCACTGACTATTGGACCAGTTAGTCAGTCAGTAACAACGTAGAACTTCGTACGTACGTACGTACGTACATCATTTCGAGTTGCCACACCACATTAGCACAAAGATGCAGTTGTCGACTGAAATTCCGTATTGGTAGAGGGAATAAGAGTATAAGTAGTAATCGAAAACATTAGGGCTTGAAGATGTTATTCAAGGAGTATAATCTAGTGAAATAAATTTGAACTGTTGAACCGAGCTGTGCTCGTAGATGGTGACCACACGGTTGAATCTGTACAATCAGGGATTTGAAACTGAATGACATGGTTTAGAATCGGTCACAGTAGCGCAGACATATTCAACCCATATCTTCCTCTCGATCTTGAGTTCCAGCATTCTTCCACACATACCTTCTAATTTTTTCTGTAACCATATTTATTATGTTCAGTCTTTCTCACTCGGTACTGTTACAACAATTTTGACTCCTTCGCTCTTCTCGTCTTACTTTGAGCTCATCCTACTGATTTGATATGGTAAAAATGTTAATTCTGACTGATTTTGCTCTGATACTCTTTGAAGCCACGAAATGCTATACACTGCCTAACTGACATTATTTACGGTGAAACAGATGGATGTGATAAATTCTAACTTTTGAGTTGCTCTTTATGTAGATCATTTTGATATATCTGGACGTAAAATCTTATTCATCCTACAGGTAGTATTGGGGCTTGGAGACAGTACAGGTTTATTCGATCATCTTTGAACCAAATTATGGTGTTGCTGATGTTATCATTCAGCTGCCAAAAAAGATGGTACGAGGTTCAAACTTAGGACCTACGTTTGAAAGGGAGATTCCTTGACCTCTAAGTTATTGTTATCTCGAATCATAACACTTGCATATAGGATATGAGCACTTCTGGTCAAGACCTTACTTACAAATTACCGAGAATCTCAACTGGACGGATTTATTACTTGATTTATAATGTGTAACTTTATTATGAGTGGAAACGCCAAGTTTATCTCGTCAGTTTCGTGCATTTCACTGTATGTATCTATTGTACAAGAAGATGGCTGTGTTGATACACGTTGACTATGTATTGTAGTCACTTGAGATCTTTATTTTTAGGCGTCACTTTAAAGCTTGTGTCCATTAACTATATTTCTAATCAATTTGTGTTGAAATTCATCTCGGAATTTTATATTTACCTAGCCTTATCATCTTTTACTTTCCTACTTATTTATTTATTTATTTCAACACATAGATATTAGTACAAAGAGGCACCAAATACATATGCGCCACACAATCCTCATTTGATTTGTGTGAGGGCTGTGATACTGGCCGGGTGCCCAAACCGAAGCAGGTGGTTTTCTTAGGGGGCCACACCCGGAGCCTTCGACCTCAAAGTCTGATTCATAAGGCAGTGGAGCAACGTAAGGAGATGCATTCCCATGGTAGTTGGTGACCAACGATTGGTTCATACGTCATTTGTTCCTTCAGGATACTGGAGCCCATGTGCACCGTTGGTTTGAAATCTGGTTAAAGCGCCGGACATTCGCTTTTCGTCCTCTCATTTTCGCAAACAACACCCCCGCTACGAGAAGGCAGTAAGTAGGACTTCCCTGGCAGAGGCTATATACGCGTGGCAATGTGAGAGCATTTCAAGAGGGAGAGCAGACTCTCCCCACTCTCGGCCGTACCAGGGTATTTGGGGGCACCTTCTCAGAGCACAGATTTAGGGGTGATGTCGTGAGGCATCTGGCTGTGGTTTATACGCACAGCCCGTTTAACGCTCAACTTCCCTACTTATCTAAAATTAGTTTTACTTTACTGCTTTATGTCAGCGAAACTAAAAATAAAACTTGATCACGTCTCACGGAGTGTGAAGTCCACTTCAGCTCATCTATCATTTATTTAAAAAGTTGACTTAAAATAGATACAATAATATTACCATACTTTTAATTTCCTGAACTATCAGGAACATTGACAACGTACTGTGAAGTTAGTGTGTGTTCACCTGGATTTTGTTTTTATTCTCAGTTTGCGCTTATTAGATTCCAAATTTTCACTCGATCCTGCTGACTAACTTTTTTGGTTGTTGATTACTGGGTTTACCTCGAAGAAATAAAAAAAAACATTGTTGATTAATTTTTCCTTTCTTAATGTATGTACTAAACTAGACAAATATACACGATAGAGCTGTAGATTCATGCATTGGTGATACCTTATTGATGGTATTCATAAAAATGTCATGAAATACTAAGGTTTAACCGAGTTATACTGTTCAAAATGTTTTTCCACAAACTAGTACTAAACGTTCAGATCAAAACGCCTCACATTGTAATGTCATTCTTCGCAAATACAGTATTATTACAAGTAAACATGGTTCTTTCTGGGTTGTAGGCTTTTGCAAATTTGACTTACTGTTATTTTCTTTTTTGTCCGATAGATTAAACAAATCCAAACAGGTCACATATCGCTGCGAAACCAATCAAATAATACTGCCACAAGGACAAGTGAAAAACGAAAGCTTAGACAGGCTATTATGAGTTGGTGAATTACTTGTCTGACTAAAGTTATTTCTTATGTATCTCTTTCTGAGTCAATAAAGATGTATAAGTATGTATATACTTATCCATAAGTTATATACAGTGAGTCATAAGCAATGTAGAACCTGGCTCACATGTTCATTGGTCTAAGTTTCTACACTATATCAGCTCATCTAGTTATGGGTTATGTACAATTTGATGCTATGCTCAAAGATTAATCTTAACAGTCAGGTCTTAACTAACTAGAGAATGATTGACCTACCCTTCATTTGCCTATGACATTTTATCGTGGTTATCTTGTATTCATACTCGGTATATAAGCGTTCTATTTTATCATATGAAAAAAGACTTATTCATATGACTAGCGGTCTTGTTTTTGATTTCTAATCATTCGGATGCCCAAGCTAATAATACTGTCTCGTTAGTGCCTGTCACTCGGTCACATTTTGTCATTGCGTCCATCCATCGATTGGCATTCTATTCATTGATTTCAAGCTCAAAAATTTCGTCTAAATAAACGTCCTCCATAAAACGATTTTGTTTAACTTTGGTATTAAACCTTCTTATACATTCTTAATCGTCTTGCTCTTGCATAGCTAGCGGGCTGGGTCAAGCATTGTGAAGTATTTGAGTGTGAATAAATCAGGCTGGCAGACCATTTTATTGTCTGACTAATAACTTACAATCAGTTTGCTGGTTTGACAAACGTTGTAAATTATTAGGTTCATAATCATAATCTTGAAATATTTATTCAGAGATTCTGGCTCACTGATTCTTATAAGCATCAAACTAATACTCATGATTATTTGTTTACACATAGACACATTGAGCAACGATACTGTCATTTTTTTGCGTGAAAAGAAAGTTTTAACTTCGGTAAGGTGCAACAAAAATGTGACGTTTATAAATGCATCAAACGTCAAAATTAAAATCATCGTTTTCGTAAATACGTTAAGCAGGTTTACTCCGTCTTATCTAAGAAAATTCAATGGATTCATAAATTTTACAGTGAATTTTCTTAGAACTGGTCTTTTAAATGCTTTCGCACTCCCATTGGGATAAAGTGTTTAATGGGTCGAGGTAAACCGCCACATTATTGATGTTATAATTTAATACTTGATCAAGAAAATATATTCAGAAACTTGTTATAAAAACAGCATATTTTAAAAATTGTCTTCTGTCTTGTCTTACAGTTTGTTGGTAAAAAGAAGACAAGATTTTTCCGAGTTCCAACCAGATTGTAAGTTTAGTTTTAACACGAGTGTTTTATGTTGAATACAAGCTCACTTGTTATGTCCTCACAGTTTTTTTTGATCGATAGGGAATATATCCATCACCTGTTTCTTTTAATATCTTAAAATATATACTTCACTTGACTCTTGAGAAAGCTAAAGAAGAATTTTTAGATAATATCACACACCTGTAAAAGATCATCACTAATTTGGGCGTATGTCCGGCGCTTTAACCGGGTTGGTGGATACGAAAACTCCACCTAGGGGAGTTGGAAAACCCTGATTCCAAACCAACGGTGCACATGGGCTCCAGTATCCTGAAGGAACAAATGACGTATGAACCAATCGTTGGTCACCAACTACCATGGGAATGCATCTCCTTACGTCGCTCCACTGCCTTGTGGATCAGACTTTGAGGTAGAAGGCTCCGGATGTGGCCCCCTAAGAAAACCACCTGCTTCGGTTTGGTCACCCGAGCAGTATCACAGCCCTCACACAAATCAAATGAGAATTGTGTGGCGCATATGTATTTGGTGCCTCTTTGTACCAATATCTATGTGTTAAAATAAAAAATAATAAAAGTGGTCGCTGACTCCAGATTTTTCTTAAAAAGACACCATCAACCGTGTTTGGTCTGGCATGGTAATGTATTAAACGATTTCTTGCTTCAAATAATAATATGTTTTAGGCAATAAATAGTTGTCTACGAAATTCGATTTTTCGAGGTTAAATCGGTATAAAATTTGATCAACTCAATAGAGTGATTCAAAGCCTGTGAAATAATATTTAGACAGAACTGTAATATGGTGTATCCAAACCAGACTTTAGGCCTGATCTTGGCTAATGGACTGACGTTCACATGATTTAACGTACCCACCTATTTTGACTAGCTAGACTTGTCTCGTCAATGATTCGGGTTACAGCTTGAGGGTTTTTATTAGGTCCATCATACAACATACCAATAACTGCCGAAAAGAGATAAATTACACTTTTGAAAACCTCCATCATTTTACTAGGCTAATATATCCATGACAAATATGCTTTTTAATAATTTCTCTTCACATTCTGCAATTGTATATTCATATTATTAATCCAAAGTGACTTGGATGTTATAGTGTATCGTATTATCTTAATTCACTATATTATCTCTAATCAAGCTGCCAAAGTAACTTAAATACATGTCGAAAATTCTCATTCAGTGTGAAATTTAACTAGCGCTGTCTGCTAGTGACTGTTTTTTAACTTTGTGTGCCATAAGTGTTTTACGAATTATTCTTCTTCCTGCAAATCCTGTAGTCGACCTTGGGATTGCGCAATTGATACAGTTTAGTTAAGGAGAAAGTGGTAAAACACAGGACCCTAACAATACTGTAAGCAAAATTCCAAGGATATAGGAGGTGGGTTTGGTATCCACCAAAATGTTACTGTTCCTCAGAGTGGTTCTGAACCGATATTTAACTTAAAGAGTGAGAGAGAATACGATGACAGTGACGGTGATAAGTAGGAACTGGACTGGACTCTAACAAAAGTTTAGCTCCGTACATTAAAAATAGTACATTTTAAAAAACCACAATGAATAGAAAAACTGAATATTAATATTAGGGGTTTCGTAATTTGGTGCAAGTTTCTACTTCAAAGAATATGGTGTTTACAAAGTCTGCCAATCTACATGATCTATGTCGTATTGGTTTTCAGTGGGTAAGTTTATTGTACTGGAGTTCTTCCTGTATTTTATGACTGTGAGGTATTATTTAATAATAGATATACGTAGATTTAATGGATTTAACCTTAATTATTTTAAAAGCATTGTTTAGGTGCAGTAAAGCTACTGAATGAGCGTTACTCTGACTATTCACAAGGTTTTAAACACAGAGGGGATGTTGTTCGGTGAAGTGGAAGGCTTGGTTTATTTTAAACAGCTGGGTCACTTGTTACACTAGATAAACTACCATTCACTCCCGCGTGTAATGCTAGTTATCTTAGAAGTAGTTCATAAAGTCACTGACTGATGAAATCCAAATAGATTCCTAGTGTGTTCTGATTCCAACGATGCCCATGTTGTAGATATTTTAAGTGGTGTCATCATAAGTGCTAATATTTAAGTAATTTAAGATTTTAAATGTCTTGAAATCAGTCACAATTGCGCACACGGGTTTATATTATTTCACTTACTTTCAAGAACTTAAACTTATCCCTTGTAGGATTTAATTTGTCCTACAGATATTCTGATAGAATTGTAAACGAACACACCGACCAGTATTGACAAGTTACATGCGATAGGGATAGTCTACAGACACATCAGACCAGATTGACGTGGTGGGCGCTTAAACAACGATTCGATTGGTTAGTTACGGACATAACTAACGTCCCTTTCAATCTTCTTTGTTCATTAATAATTATCATTCTTGTTCACTTTCAATATCTTCCTCCTCTTATTAATTTTCCGTTTATCCTGTTGTGAAATGGGAACCCTTAGATTAATACACAGTTTCGTGCTAATATTCATCATGTCATTTATATCTGATATTGTTACTCTTTCTTTATAAAATAGTTCAAGAAATTTTACTGATGATTATATGCTCTACCAGATACTGTCCTAAACAATGCTTACTTAATTGTTACCCTGTATATCACGACCAAGTTGGAATATATAAAGTACAATTCATTTTATTTTAGATGATTCGCTGGTTTATGTAAGTTGGTTGGTAAAGACATCATAAAATGGGAAACTAGACAGATTTTATGCGTTTAGATCAGTCCATATTTGTTTCTAATTGTTACTGACTTTCTTCCATAGCGCATTGCTATTTGAACTAAAACATTTGTCGTAACTAAACAAAGACTAACTGATATGTGACTTGACGTAAGAAAGAAGTCAAAGACTATGAATAAATATTTAATATGAGTGAAAAAATGGATCAAAAAGACCTCTGAATACATTAATTTTTATGCGATTTATTCACCCACTAATCTATAGTCAAATTTTTCAATAATTGGAACTGGATAGTACTGGACACTAATTAATTAGTATATGTATACACATAGTTTATAAAATCACAAAATTAAACTGTTATCATCAACTTACTTACGCCTATCACTCCCAGTGGAGCATAGACCGTCGACCAGCATTCTCTGACCCACTCTGTCCTGGGCCTTCCTTTCTAGTACTATCTAATTGTTGTTCATTCTTCTCATGTATGTCTCCATTTCTCGGCGTAATGTGTTCTTTGATCTTTCTTTTCTCCTTTGGCCTTGAGGATTCCGAGTGAAGGCTTTCCTTGTGGCGCAGTTGGGTACTTTCTTCACTATGTGTCCTATTCACTTCCAGCGCTTCAATCTGACTTGTTCTATACCACAGTAGGTTATCATCAACACACGAAAGTAATTTGCTGACTAATAGTATCTACACCTTCATAACAAGTTTCAATATTTCAGTTTTCATTTATTGTTATATTTCAGCTTTTGTTTAACATTTTTAACGTAATCTGCCTAACTGGTGATAATTCCAAAAGATAGTTTAAACTAAGTAAATACAGGTTTTTAGTCCTTACAATAATGTTGTGTACTTCTGAATTAAATTGCTGATATTTAGTTCGGTTCTGAATTCAAGTAAACGTAAACTAATTAATGAATAATTATCTGTAAGTTTAATTTATGATCTAACTGTAGATGTCATAATTCATAAGGTGTCTTCACCCTATAGTCCCTTAGTATAATTCTCTTATATGTTTTTAATTTCTCTACTGTGACTGAAATACTTGGTATTGTTTGTAATATGATTGTTCATTAAACCCATTATTTGGTTATAGACAATAAAAGTCGTTTAGTTTATTTTCATGCTATCAGTCAAATCACTTTCATACATTATGTATGCTATGTATTGTAATATAACAAATCTACTCTTATTTATTGAATTCCATTGTGTATGTATCATCTTTGGATTAGAAAGACTTCGTTGAATAGATTTAACCGACCTAATGATAACTTTTTTGTTCATCATTTTTCTGTAGTTGTTGGTTTTGAAGTTCCAAATCGGTTCATTGTTGGATATGCTATCGACTACAATGATTTTTTTCGGGATATACCAGTAAGTAAATATAATTTTGTAATGTATTATTAACCTTTGATATCAAGAATTATCAGTTTCGTTAATTTGTAAACATCAATTAATGTGAACGTTGTATTTCAATTACTTTATGACTAAAATCCTCTAATGGTTTTTGGACTTGATCATATTTGATGCTAGAATATTTACAACAGTATTTTTGTACACTACTACTCAAAGATCAGATATAGATTCCCAATAGCAAATGAAATCCATTAGGAGAAAGAATTAAAGACAGTTCAGTGAAGAAAATCTTTTCAACAAAATCATTTACTGACGTTGTATTTATTCAGTGACTTAACAAATATACTATTTTCATAAGAAAAAACAGAAAAAGGGTTATGTCATTAGGTGTTTGGAGATTTCAAGTAGTACGAGAAGGTTGTGTAATGAATGATTTAGAGATTAACTAGAAGTAACCGTACGAAAGTAATTAACCGATTAGAAATACGGAAGTCCAGTTGTCCAGTTGATAGAGATGAATAGTGTGAAGGTGGTAATAACAGCTAAATAATAATTCTGAAAAATTAGTAAAGGGCTTTTAAAACTTGGTCAATTTTTTCGTGGATCACTCTAAGTAGATATGTGAAGTTGTTGAACAAATAGAATACTAAGTAACTGTTGCTTGTACGCCAATAAGTAGTAGTATTGTTATTCTATGAATATAATTTGACAGTTGTCATTATTCTGTCCAACGGCTAGTATCGATGGTTTGACAATCCTGTCGTGTGTAGTTAGTAAATGCATTAAATGTAGATGCTAAAACTTAATGATGTAACCCTTTTTTCCTTAATGTGAGCTCGTTTCCAAATCGAGTCAGTAATGCCGCAGTGTAATATACTACTCGTTTAAGTACTGTATATATATGATCGCCCTACCATACATAAAAGGCATATCAGGAACCGCGACGAGACTACTAAAAACCTTCGGGATAGGTGTGGCACACAAATCGACAAAATCACTACAATCTATCCTATGCAAACCAAAGGATGAAATAACAAAGGAAAACAAATCAAACATCATCTACTAAATAAATTGTGTCAACTGCGAAAAACACTACATCGGACAAAGCGGACGCCCCCTTCACCTTCGCCTACATGAACATCAATTGGCAGTCAAATGCCATGATACTTCCTCAGTTATATCAATACACGTGGACAACTGTGGACACTCATTCGATTGGAAAAATGTGGAAATCTTGGACAGAGGAAATTCCAAAAACACCAGAGAATTTTTAGAAGCCTGGCACTCAGGTCAATCAGCAATCAACAAGCACATTGATATCGATACAATTTATCAACCAATCAGGAAAATTATGCATAAATATAGGAACTAAAATCAAACCAATGGGAGACACAACCAAAACAAAGAAGTAAACAATGACAAATTTAAGGTCAATAAGAACCAATAACGTCAGTGTACAGAACAAGCTGTGAAACGCATATGGAGAAATTCGAACACTTCACTTCTATCTGAAGTTCGTGCTGATGATGTCGTTCAGAAGAACGATGAAAGCTCCACGACCAAACCATCCAGCTCAGAGAACAAAACTGCATCAAAATCATCCATATGAGCTACAAATCTTCTCCACCTTCTCAAGGTATTTGTATGTAAGTGTATTTTAAGGTCATTGAATAGACTTCACTTTTGTAGGCCCATTTAATGGGATCACTAATTTATTGGGTGTACGTTTGGCAGTTATATCAATTCACACTAAGTGTCACGATCCACGTGAATTCTTTCTGTTCATGACCTACCCAATCAATGCATGTGTGCAATCACAGGACCATGATCTATTATAGATAAGGAAATCACAATTTCTATGTAATTAAGTCACTCATAATACAAAACTGATCACCATATTCATAATTAATTAATTGTAATTTATGAACAGTGAAAGATAAACCATTAGTTAACGCGTTAAATGAAAGCTTATAATTAGAAGAATATAAAATTACTATAAACCGAATGTTTAATAAATACAATTAAAGTATATAATCATTCACCTCCCGACCGTAGCTGCTACCTTGACGTGGTGGTCGGGCTTGTCTATCGTCATAACTCAACCGAGCTATATTGGCTGGAACATATGTTCCTGTAGGTTCTACCATGCCAGGCTGGTCGATTTGAGAACGGTGAGACTAAAAGCAGCAACTCCAATGTCTGAGGGCGAAGTCGTACTGTTGACTGTAGAGGGTTGTGACAGCAGTATGGTGTTTTCCTTGAACAATTACCATCTGCAGCGATATTACCTTCTCACAAGGAAGGACGGAGTTAGAAATGGTCGACCCTAGAAATGTCACGCCTCACCTTACCTCAGGGGTTTCCGTCTCTGGCGGCAAGGTTTATTGAAGAACGGAGCTAACACGTTAAAAACCTCCCACAAAAAAGCCTTGTTCGACCGGCCTCAAGCTGTTGTCTCTTGTGCTCTGTGGTCACGCTCCCAGGTCGTTAAGTCCAACACTAATCCAACTTCCTTTTCAGATCCTACAAGAAATGTCATTCCACGGTGTGGGCAGCCGGGAAGTGACATCAGCTCTCATACCCATTATAGCACAGAAACTAAGTTGGTCACAATTAAATCCTTCCTACACCTCATAATAATTCTCTGATTATTTCTCCGAATTACACCTCTTCCACTTATTTTTCAATATATAATAGTCATATATACCTTTATAGATCTTTCTTGTAACAATAAATTCAAGTAGATATTCTATTTGATAGACAACATGAAACATCTTCGTGGTATTGTAACTGCGTCGTATTCCTAAAATTATACTTCAATCAATGCAATATGTTTCACTCTATTTAAAATATAAAATCACTAAATAGTTTACACTTTATCCATCAATCTATCCTGCTATTTTCTTCACACACACAAAACAAACACTATTTAATTGATTAATATTTCACAGGTTGAAATCATGAGTCAATTGAAGCTAGAACGCAATGGAAAACCTGGAAGCACTGGACGACCGTTTCGTCCTAGTATGGGACTCCTCGGCAGTGCGCATCCACGAACCCGCACCCCGCGGGATTCGAACCCAGGACCTACTGGCTTCGCGCGCGAGCACTGAACCAATAGTGTTAGGTGGCGCAACTTCGTGGATTGGTTGAAGTTAGACATTAACACCGTTGAATGCCGGTTCAGTTGTCTAATGGTTAAGTGCTCGCGCGCGAAGCCAGTAGGTCCTGGGTTGGAATCCCGCGGGGTGCGGGTTCGTGGATAAGCACTGCTGAGGAGTCCCACACTAGGACGAAACGGCCGTCCGGTGCCTCCAGGCTTTCCGTGTTGTTCTAGCTTCATTTGACTCATGATTTCAACTATTGAAATGACTGAAATCTCCACAAAACTCATTCTGATGATTAATATTTATTAAGTAAATAAGTTTGATATAATTTTATTCATTATTTTCATAGAATATTTTTCTATTATACATTTAGCATATATGTTCAATCAATGATGAAGCGAAGAAAATTTTCGCCATATCCAAATCAGATAAACATGCTAAATAAAGATTATTGAAACAAAGTACACAATTTGGAACTTTGTTTTTTTTATTATATCTCTTACTTACTACAGTATTTCCAATGTAGTTCAACTTTATTTAGATTAGAGTTTGAGATTTCTAAATAGATCGACTCTATTTTATCCACTTATTCCCTTGTATACTGTTAGATTATTATTTTTTTTGAAACAGATCACTTATTTTTTTGTCTCTTAAGTTATGTAAAACAAAGTGGTTTAAATAACTGTAAACTTATATTGTTGTACAGTATGCTCATACACTATTCACTTTTGCAAATGTTAGTTGTGTCTATGTTTCAATTTTTTTTTATTTGTTCGTAAAATAGGTTAGGTTTATTGGAGTTATTTATAGGGAAGTTTTGTTTTATGTATGTACATCATTAATGTAGATGACCTGGGTCGAGTGATTGGGGGGCCGCTTAATGGAGTTAGATGGGGATGGTGTGACCAACTGGCTAACATCGAAATCACATCTTGCAGTTAGTACCTAACGCGGGTTATCCTTTGATGGTATGAAAGTATTATGACTGCTTTGGTGGTCGTATAACACGAATGACGTCATCACAGAGTGCGACCACTACTAGGCTAGTCCATGACTTGAAGTTAACTGATGTGCGTCGGTCGTCCTGGACCTTAACGAGGACCGGTGGACTGTTCGATATTTAGTGACCCAACTACCGGATGATTTGTCTAGGGCTCAGTGACATTCCACTGGCTCTACATATAACTTACCGTATGAAGTTTTTAGTGTCTATTGGTAGGCACCTGAGGTATAAATTCTACAAATAGGCTCCTTTAGGAAGACATTTGATGCTTTTGAACAGATGAACCTAATACTGACCTAAGTATTTCAGTAGTTAACGTCAAATCTCAGAGTGATAGTCGTCAGTTGGCCTGGTCTTACACATTTTAGCATTCCGGCTGATATTAATTCACGACATCCTAACTCTAAATCCTATGCCTTCACATTCATATCACGGTTGTGACCCTAGTAAGTAATGGGAGTTTCTCATGGCCATTTTAGTATTACTTAGCAATTGTTAGTAAATCCGAGTCTTCCGGTATGATTAATATGGTAGACTGGAACGGTTAATTTAGTAACTGTCCGCGTAATTAACAATCGCGTGAGACTTGGTGTGCTGTGTAGATTGGTTATGGGATTCGAAAAATGATGCGAATGGAACAGATAAAGTGAAAGGCTACTTTTGTCATTAAATTGTATTAAAGGTGCGTAATTTTTAAACGAAAACACCAACTGTGACATGATTATCACTTGTTACTTATTTTCTGAATTCTCTAAGTGATAATAATAATGCTGTAGAAATGGACTTCTATCAGAACTTCCAGGTAAATGATTTGGTACTACAAGAAATTTATTTAATACATGTTTGTACTAAGAGGTGAGAAAAGACACTTAATCAATGTGCGTTCAGTGTCGTATCGTGATAATTTTGAACAAAAACTGGGTACTAGAACAAGGAATTATTAATTCTTGACAATGCTCAGCCATTTATAATGGAGAGTGTATGGTAAATTAATGAATGGGACTTAATATGAATCGCTTTCATTAGACTGAATGTTATTCAGGAATGTCCAGATCAATTACAGAACGGGACAGTGGGGTCTAGCAACGGAACATAAGGACGGTCAAAAATAAGCAGTAGGAGAAATTGGTGTTGACTTATCAGTCGGAATTCTAGAATATAGTAATTGACTATAAAAATAACTTCAATATTTCCATATAATTTGTAACTGAACCTGGAGGACATCTAGGGATGTGTTTATGCGGTATTTGTAAGAACTAAAGATTCATTTGTACTTGATTGTTCACTAATTATGGTCACCTAGTTCTGTTTGACCTGAATTGAACTGTTTTGGGAATTTCTAATTAGTACAGTAATTCGATGGGGTCTCTGTTTGAACAACATTCAAATTCACAAGTTTTCGAGGACTATATGGAAATGTTCGAAATCTGGAGTATGACCAGGAAAGGTGTTAAGGGTGATCCCTACGGTCTACTCAAAACCTTGGCATATCCATGTTAGCCTGTCTCACTTCCTTAAACAACTGTCAAACAACTACTATTAAATGGTGTAAAGTTGCTAGTTTTGAGCGCAAAATTATTAAAATGATTCGTCAGGAAAACCGATTGGTCAGATGAATCATCCTCGAATTGCAAAACAAACAGACAAGTGTAATTTTGGTGGTCAACTTCATGTACAGCTTTGTGATCGATTGACTGGAGGGATTACCTCAGTAAATCTGGAAAATGATCTAATTCATAAACCGAAATTTTGTTTCCAAGATGCTAGAATTGAATATATTGATGATGAGGCAGTGCATGAAACTGGCTCTCAGGACGTCAAGAATTTTACTACATTACTTAGTTATCCTCATCCGATGCGTACTCAAGGTCGCACAGGTGAACGTTTAATTAACGATAATCCTCGTTCTATCAAAAACATGGATAATAATCCATTGAGAAGTTGCAATACAGGTTATAGAGGTGAGCACATGTTCGGTGAATGTTTATTTGGTGTTGGGAGAGTGATTGTATACAATTCCAGGACCCTGATCATTCAGCATTTACACCCAATACACAATCGGGCAGACAAATGATGTACCCAAAAAGAAGGAACACAAATGTTTGTAGAAATTTGGATTCTCATTTAAGCTGTGGCGGATATTTTGTTTGTATGAACTAGTGATGTCTTTGTACTTGATGACTGCCTGATTTGGAATTCCAAACAGAATACGTTTGTTTGCGTTCAACTAGTCCTTTGTGGCTTGAATTACGTTATTCCTGCGATTCCTAGTTCGTACAATAATTCAAATACTTCTAATTATCACACTTTATTCTGTGGTAAATTTCACTTACTTAATTTATGCTAAATCCCTTACGTGTGGTAAAATGGGTGTGGTGTTTGGACGAACTAATGATACTTTTGTACTGATTGGTTGCACGGTTTCGAATTCCAAATGCAGTACATTCATTTGTGCTTGTGTCTTACTTAATAATTCAATTGCGTTATTTCTGGGACTATTAGTCCGTACTATAATTCAAATAATTCGAAACATTATAATGAGACACATTTAGTGGGCTTGTGAACCTACTGTTTATTTCGACACATATAATGCTGAACTTTGTAATTCAGGTTCCAATGGTCTAAGTGTTTATAGTGATCATGGACTAACCTTATTTGCATCATTCAGTAATTCATTTCATATTCAAAAACAAGTATATCTGACTAGTGGCGCTCTTCATGTATTTTTGTTTACACTGGCAGTATCAAGTCCATCATCTTAATTGAAATATTGAAGTCATAAAATCTCTGTTCAATAATTAATCCCATCAAATTTCTTATCTTAAGTATTACAGGTTACAAACCTCCCATACTTTGGTATCGCTATTTGCTTATTAGATATATTAAATGTTCATTCATACATTGTGAATTCCTCATCACTGGTCCTGGTTCCAGAAAATTTGAGAATACTTCAGGGACAGCTAGTGTTTGACAATTTGCTGACTATGTAATGGAGATGTGAAGAATTGCTCACGACTTCAAAGCCCCATTTTCATGAGTAAACAAGAAATTTAAAGACTTTGTAAACAAACATTACTTCCATTACTGCTACAAACTTCAAAGACACGGAGAAGAGCATAAATATAGTCCTTCAGATAGTTAGCAAAAGAAAGTGATGAAGTTGTTTGAATATGCAAATCTCCGTACAGTGAGTTATATTCGGATGAATAATATGTGAATGTTAACTGCTAAAATCTGTTTATGGAGTTTTATTATATATATATATATATATATATATATATATATATATATATATATATATATATATATATATATATATATATATATATATATATATATATATATATATATATATATACAAATGTATACAAATTATGTAGCTATGTTATATGTGTATCCGAATTCCTTTTACTTTAATCTTCCGTTTAAACTATTGATAACTGTTATACAATATACTATTCGTAAGTTATTCCCAATTTATTAGTTACAGTATCTCATACTCACAACCACTTTTGGCTTCATCTTTTATGATTGTTATTTTTTATTTCACAGTATGATATAATCTTGGACAAAACTCCATTGGTATCAATGGGAGACATTAAGCTAAAAAAGAATCAAACAAGGAACACCACTAAAGTTTATTATATCCCTATTTCAAGACGCTGAAAGACTCTACACGTTCAAGATATCTCCCAGCAATTAGATTCATGTCCTACAATTTCTACTCAAAGTAAAGGAAACTGCTATCAGTAACAACTAGGAAGGGATCAAGGAAGCGAAAACTTCAGCTAATCATAGGACGTTGAGTTATAAAGAGCACCAAAATAAAGAATGGTTCTCTATTGATACCCTAGGAATGATCCAAAAAAGAAAAGATATGAAGGCGACAATGAAAAACAACCGAAAAAGAGCACTAGCTTAATGTATGGAATTGAACAAGAGAATGAAGAGTGTGTAGAGCCGGTGAAATTTCAATACGCCCTCGCCGAAGCATCCGGCGGTTAGGTCACTGAATATTGAGCCGATCTTCAATCACTGTCAAGGTCACGGATGACCAACACGCATCAGATAACTATACGCCATGAACTGACCAATGCGGCAGAGGTCTTACTTTCGCTTATGTCCACTTTAACCAATATATTTATGTAATAACGTCATTTGTGTTGTACAGTCTTCAATGCGTCTATAGTACCTTGATATGTCAGTGGGATAGTTCACGTAAGGTACTGACCATGTAGTGTGTCTTCGACGTTAGCTTGTTCGTCACACCACTGCCGTTTAACCTGATTAAGCCTCCAATCATTCGATACAGATCATCTATGCTGGTGATTTACAAGAGGAATTAGAACGGATAGGTGGAAATATGTGTAAGACCCAGCAGATAAAATGGTAAAGCTTACAGAATAGGGAATATAAGATATTAAATGACAGCAAATGCACTAAAAGTAAAATGTAATAAACCACAGAGACAAGTCAAAAACGAAGAAGACAAACCGTTCACTAGGGTTTAAGAACAATCAGACAGGTGAGTGTGGACATTTGAAGAGCTTATAAATAAACTAGCCTCAGTGAACCCACCGAAAATTGAGGTGGTACACATTAAACATCCTGAGGTTTATACTTTACAGACAATAGTATAAATTAGCACGACTGTCAGAAAAATATAGAGCAAAAAGGCAAAATAATCAAATAGTATAATAGCTAAAGCTCTAAAGCTGAACATAGGAGTGACCAGAAAGATTTTTCACTTACT